CCCCATATCTCTTGGATTTTTCAATTCGGTTAACTCGAATTTTATGGATGTGTTGAACATCTTAATTGTCACTCTCCGAAGTGATTGAGTTATCCACGCCCGACTGAATACGTAATACCAGTACCAGCAACAATCAAAATCACTGCAGTTTGAGAACTGAACGTCGGGGCTTCGGGATAAACCAATGACATTTTGTTCTAGTACATATTAAATTATAGCAGGATGCACCCACACCAATCAGATCGCTTTTCCAGTTATGTCTACTTTCATATTTGGCTCTTCTGGTGTGTCCCTTTTTAAAAAAATAAAATTTTTGTTTTGTTTTCTTACCTTTGTTTTATTAAATGTTTCATTCTGATTTTAGTCAGCAGTAGTAACTTTTAGTGTAGAAGATAGGGTTACAAACCAAACCCCATCCCTCGTGCTGTCGAAATATTTGTGAGGTCCTTCTTGTAAAGGATCACATGTGGCCTGCATGTTTGATACACCTGGTCTGAAGAATTTTTTAAAAATCAGATAGAGCTCTTATAATGAGCTTGAGGGAAGATTCTGTTTCTTCACCCTTTCCTGTTCACATTCTTTGGCAGCAAAGGCAGCCCATTTGTTCAATCTCCTGTGCATCAAGTCAAGTAGCCTCCAAGTGTTCCCATTCTTTCGAGCGCAGTGGAAGTGAAAGCAAGTTCTGACAGCTGACCTCAACACTGATGATTAGATCTAGTAAATTACATGTACTTATTTAATATTTTCCGAAAAATAGAGATGAAAACAAAGCTATGATTTACTGTCAGGGATATAATCTTTTTTTAATCATAACTATGCCTACAATTCAGGAAATCCCTGGAGAGAAATAAATGGGAAATTCAGCTAGTTTTGGCCAGGATAAACACTGGCGTAGCGCACTTTACCAACTGGCAGGGATAAACAAAAGGTGCTTATAAGTGATTACTGTGCGCATTGTAACGTCCTAAAAAAGTAAAACCATGATACTTTGCATCAAGGCTACAGACTGGTACGGTATGCTGTGATTCAGTTGGACTTTTCCCCTTTTCTCCCCAAGATGAATTGGAGTCATGTACAAGTTCAGTATAACACGGATAGCGAATTTGTCGGGAACGGTCTCAGTAGTTTGAGGGATCCATGTTTCAAGGGATATCTTATAAGTTATAATAAAGATAAAGGGAAAAAAAAACGAGACGGCAGGCATAGTTTCAACGAATGCGTGATTTCTAGTCTTCTGGGTTCGACCTATCTGCTATAAACTCCTTTTTTACTTAATATTACTTAGCAACATCCGAAACAAATAGCCAAAGTTCTAGACCTAGAGCTACATTAATTTTGATCATATTTTGCATTCAACATCAACACAAAACTTACTCATAAATATTTTTTTGTATAGAAGACAATCAAGGAAAAAGTCTACACCATTTTTACATTCCATGAGAAATCAGTTTATTTCGTCCTATGTACAAATTCATATATTGTTTTCAAGAACAAATTGTCAATGTCCTTTCAAGCTCCTTTGACTGTCATCCTGACTTGAGTCTTCAGAGCTAGCGGCAACTGGTCTATGAATCTGAAACAACAACAACAAAAAGAGAAGTTACAGTGAAGATACCATAATTTGTGAGTGGTCGAAACAGCTTGTTTCTGGGTTCATATCAGTCACAAGCATCAAAGATTTAGGAGGTTATATGCAATTCAATGGCTTCAACTTCAAGGCAAAAGGAAAGCCAAGATAAAGATAAAACGACATAGTCAAAGAGTTCCCCCAAAGGAACAAAATGATGATCGGAACATGTACACACTTGGCCCTCGTCCAACAATTACACCTCCCCTCAAACCTTGAGGTACTTGTGATATAAAAGGACAGAAAAGGTAAAAAAAGGAAAATAAGTATGGACAGATCTTCAATTTGTTTTCAGTTTGGTAAAAAGATTTATGGTGCTCGCAACTGCTCCAGTTCATTTGAGCACGCCGGACACAAGCTGGTAGTTTATAGTGCGCCTTGACTTTACTTTGCAAGTCGAAATGGTCGCAGTTCAGTCGAACCTGAGTGAGATGGAATCGCAAGGGAGCCAGAAAAAATTATGTCTTAGACAGGGGATTTTAGGAGGGCGGGGGAGGATTTAGAGACCCAGCCGCTGGGATCAAGCGCTATTTGTCCAGTCAGCAAACAGTGGTCAAAACTTCACACTCACACCTCTCAATTGATCCGTATCCTCTTTGATAATGACATGCCTTAAAAACAAAGTTTGAACATATATATATATATATACTTTGTTTCCATCTTTAGCCCCACCCATCGATTTAATAAGCACAGTTAACCAACGCCAACCCTCCCATGGATGTAACAACGATTTTAGGAACTATTTTTTCGGCTGGCCATACAACCAAAGATTCTTTACTACCAGAGAGGCAGGCATTGGTCAAACTAATTTCACACCTCTGGCTTCCCATGAATGTTTCCATGTGCTGGAGCGCACACATGATCACTTTCACAGGCACTTGTGACATTTTATACCCACACCTTCCAAACCATCTGTACCGCTAAGGTCTCACATGGAAGGGTAACACTAACAATACTAACATCTACCCCCAAATTGCATCCCTACTCCCCTACCCGCCTGGCGGCATGGCGTCGGTCAAGATTAGAGCTGATGGGAACCAAACTTGATACTTTAATTTCAAATCAGGGCTGATTGGATAAAGAATTATCCGTCTTTGTCAAGCAAAAATCCTTGGAAAAAAAAAACAGGCGAAGGAGTTTAAATATCTTGGCAGCACTTTTTCTGAAAACGGGTCCATAGACAGAGAAATAGAAAGGCGAACCCAAAAAGCCAACACTGTCACCTACCAGCTCGCACCCCTCCTATCTCATCCAAACATCTCCATGGGAAAGAGGCAGCTTATCACCACAATATTCAAACCAACATTATGTTATCAGTGCCAGACCTGGACTTTCCGCAAAACCAATGAAAGCAAAATCACCGCATGAGAAATGAAATGTCTCCGCAAAACCCTAAACATCAGAAGATGAGACAGGCAGTGAAATGAAGAAGTAAATGCAGCTATCGGAACTGAGTCCTGCCTGCATTACATAGAAAGACAGAGGGTAAAATAGTTTGGCTACCTGTTACGCATGTCACCAGACCAGCCAGCATCGAGAGCCTACAACACCAAGCACTCAGGCTATAAAGGAAGAGGAAGGCCACGCAAAAGGTGGATCGAGGATGTCAAGGAAACCATAAGAAAACTGAAAAATCACAACTGAAAGAGCTACGGAGCTGGCCTACCATAGAAAACTGCATCTCCCCTCGAAGCTTAACGCCAACAGAGGATGAAAAAGTAAAAAAGTAAAAGTAAGTAAGTAAATCCTTGGAAGGGAGCGGATTTTTCTTTCCTTTTCGGTGTTAGACAGGTCTCCGTTTTATACAGGTAATTAAAGAGGAATTTATCAACGGGGGAGCGGGGAGATTCCGTTAAGCCAGATTTTCATTAAGGCAAGTTCTACAGTATCTAAAAATACATTACAAAATTTTGTTTGTAAAATAGCAGTGCAGGCTAATTTACATTTTCAAAATAAGTATTTACAGTTTGCTGTAAGGACCAATAGCCGTTACATCTGTTGGGAACAACAATAGAGAATAAATTCTCTAAATTAGTACATTTAAAATGTTTCATTCATTTTGCTTGGTAAAAATTTTACGCAGCTCGCAACTCCATACGGTCAAATGAACACATGGGACACAAATTGGTTATTTTTACATTAGTTCATAGTACATGTACGGCTTGGTTTTACTTTGCGAGTCGAAATAGTTAAAGTATCTAAAAATATATCTTACATCTTAAAACAACTTAATTTACGTGTACATCTTCGAAATAAAGACCAATGGTTTAAATAAAATTGAGAATTCTGTTGGATTCAGAGATGGAGAACTAATTTTTCAAATTTGTGCATTTAAAATACTTCCTTTGAGTCTCTCCAAAGTCCAGACATTGTGTTAGCATGTGCCAGATCGTAGAGTTGGTCTTGCATCTGACAAAAAATGGTTTTTCATCTTCTGGAAGAAGATATCTATTAATCAGGTAGGTTTGTCCAATGTGCAGTCTGGGTAAAATAAAATAACTTTGTTTCTACTGGAAAGACCCCAAAGTTTTCATGGGTCCAATTTGGGTATTATATTGTGGAGTTCATTATTCACTTGTTCACTCCAGAGTTCCTCCCACAGACTGGATGGGGGCTCTCGTGGCCTAGATGTTAAGGGGTTGGCTTCTCATTCAAAAGGTCCCAGGTTCGAATCTGGGTAGCGCCCGAAATATTCTTCTTCTCTACATTTGTCTCCTTTCACCTCATTTCCTGCTCTCTAGAAATGTTCTGTCGTCTGCTTTCGTCTCCTCTTTCTGCCCCCACCCCCTCACCTCCTTTGCCCCTTCCTCTGGACTCCTGATTCTTTCTGCAGCCTTTCTACTGCTACTCCTTTGCTTCTTCTTACTGCTGTCTTTCAGCCACACCCCTGATCTTCGGGCAGGGTTGGTGATTTTTTTTATTTTTTAAATAAAAAAAATTTTTAATCGATTTTTTTATTTAAATCAGATTTTTAAAATTTAAATAGGATTTTTTTATTTTTTTTAAAATGGCAACACAGTTTGGGATTTTTGGAGGCTAAAAGTTTTGGAGGCTAAAAGTAAGTTCTTTTAGTGCAAAATGCATGGTCTTTATTTTAACTAATGATTAATTTAAGCAACTGCAATTTTAGAAAGCCTCAATCTGCTATATCAGTGAATTATGGCTACAGACAAAAAATGTAGAAAATGTCAGTCTAAAAGAAAGGGGGGGGGGGATAATTATCATTGCATATATAAACTTGCATTTTATAGTGTGTGTGTGTGTGCGTGCGCTTGTGTTTGTCTAAAAAGAAAAAGAAAAAGCTAATTTCAATTATGGAAAAAAAAGTAAATTGAATACAGTATTATTTTACTACTTACAGTGACAGGGGGGGGAAGCAGACTTTTAAGCATGATATTTTAGTCTACTAAACCATGTCTTTTTTAAAAGTGATTTAAATCACTGAGTTTTATTTTTTAAATCAAGTTGATTTAAATTTTTAAAAATCAACTGATTTAAATCAACCCAACCCTGGTTTTCAATTGTGAAAAAAAAGTAAATTGAGAACTGTATTATTTTACAGTGACAGAAGGGGAAGCAGACTTTTAAGCACGATTATATTAGTCTACTAAACCTTATATCTGTTTAATAAAACAAAGGAAAAGAATTCTGAATATTTAAATATGTAAAAACTGAATACATTTTTTGAAAAGTGATTTAAATCACTGATTTGTATTTTAAAAATCAAGTTGATTAAAATATTAAAAAATCAACTGATTTAAATCAACCCAGCTCTGATTTCAATTATTGAAAAAAAAAAGTAAATTGAATACTGTATTATTTTACAGTGAAAGGGGGAAAAGCAGACTTTTAAGCATGATTATATTAGTCTACCAAACCATGTATCTGTTTTACAGGGTTGGTGATTTTTTTGATTTTTTAAATAAAAATTTTAAAAATCGATTTTTTAAATTTAAATCAGATTTTTTAAATTTAAATCGGATTTTTATTTTTTTTATTTTAAAAAATGTCGACACAGTTTGGGATTTTTGGAGGCTAAAAGTAAGTTCTTTTAGTGCAAAATGCATTGTCTTTATTTTAACTAATGATGAATTTAAGCAACTGCAATTTTAGAAAGCCTTAATCTGCTATATCAGTGAGTTATGGCTGCAAACAAAAAATGAAGAAAATGTCAGTCTAAAAGGAAGGGGGGGGGGGGGGGGTAATTATGCATAGATAAACTTGCATTTTATTACAGTGTGTGTGTGTGCGCGCGCTTGTGTTTGTCTAAAAAGAAAAAGAAAATGCTAATTTCAGTTATGAAAAAAAAGTAAATTGACTACAGTATTATTTTACTACTTACAGTGACAGGGGGGAAGCAGACTTTTAAGCATGATTATTTTTGTCTACTAAACCTTATATCTGTTTTATAAAACCAAGGAAAGGAATTCTGAATGTTTAAAGATGTAAAAACAGAATACATTTTAAAAAAGTGATTTAAATCACTGAGTTCTATTTTTAAAATCAAGTTGATTAAAAAATTTTTTAAATCAACTGATTTAAATCAATCCAACCCTGGTTTTCAATTATGAAAAAAAGTAAATTGAGAACTGTATTATTTTACAGTGACTGGGGGGAAAGAAGACCTTTAAGCATGATTATATTAGTCTACTAAACCTTATATCGTTTAATAAAACCAAAGAAAGGAATTCTGAACGTTTAAATATGTAAAAACTGAATACATTTTTTTGAAAAGTTATTTAAATCATTGATTTTTATTAAAAAAATCAAGTTGATTAAAATATTAAAAAAAACTGATTTAAATCAACCCAGCTCTGATTTCAATTATGGAAAAAAAAGTAAATTGAATACTGTATTATTTTACAGTGAAAGGGGGGAAAGCAGACTTTTAAGCATGATTATATTAGTCTACTAAACCTTATATCTGTTTTATGAAACCAAGGAAAGGAATTCTGAATATTGAAATGTGTAAAAGCTGAATAAAAATAAATTTTTTAAAAAGTGATTTAAATCACTGATTTTTATTTTAAAAATCAAGTTGATTTAAATAAAAAAAATCAACTGATTTAAATCAACTTGATTTAAATCAACCCAACCCTGCTGTTTTATGAAACCAAGGAAAGGAATTCTGAATGTTGAAATGTGTAAAACTGAATAAAAATACATTTTTTAAAAAGTGATTTAAATCACTGATTTTTATTTTAAAAATCAAGTTGATTTAAATAAAAAAAATCAACTGATTTAAATCAACTTGATTTAAATCAACCCAACCCTGCTGTTTTATGAAACCAAGGAAAGGAATTCTGAATGTTGAAATGTGTAAAACTGAATAAAAATACATTTTTTAAAAAGTGATTTAAATCACTGATTTTTATTTTAAAAATCAAGTTGATTTAAATTTTTAAAAATCAACTGATTTAAATCAACCCAACCCTGTCTTCTGGTAGGAAAGATCTACACCTAGCCTTCTCGGACAAGGGCGAAAAATCTCGGAGGGCCCGTGTGCAATTTGCGCACGTTAAAGATCCCTTGGAGGTCTAAAATCGATAAGAGTAGGCTTCGGCCGCCGCCCGGGCAAAATTCAAAATTTCCTACCAACTGAAAATATTAGGTGTGTCCTGCGCGCTCATATGACCTTATGCAGTTGTGAGCGCCGTAAAACACTTTACAAAAAAAAAACAAAAAAAAAACAGACTGGATTTATAGCTTTTGAGTCTTTGACCTTATTTCAAAAGTGTGTCTGATCTCCATTAATTCCAACTGGAGGGACAACGATTCCTTCACAAGAGGATCGACCTGCTCATTTCCTCAGATGCCCACATGGCCAGGTAGCCATTCAAACACAATACATTATCCCTGATCAGTCATGGAAGGAACCCTTGACTATAATTTGAATGGCATCATGATGAAAATGAAATCAGACATAGATGTATTTCAAAATTGAAATAGAAGACACCAACATGTTCCGTCTGTTGGGAAATTTCTATGGGGGTTTTTTTTCTGTTTTAGGCTTAACAGCTCTTTTGTCGGTTTCAAAACACATTCCTGTGTGGATTTTACTGAAAAACAATGATCAAATGCGCAAAATGTAAATTTGCACTTTAAAAAGACAGTACAGGCTTGAAGGTCACCAATGCACCAAACTCTGGCAGCCAATTTCTCTTAATTTTACCTCTGACACAAGGCAACCCCATATCCTTCAATCACAATATGAAATATCTCGTCTTCTATCTGAGATAGATGAGAAACTGTAAAATATCAAAACCAAAGCCATTGAACAAGCTTTGAGATTAACCAACATGCCTAAAAACTGACGAGCGCTTAATTTCACCATGTCGTGACATAATTTAACTATTTTAAGAATAAAGAGTGTAAAATTGGTGAGTGAAATAAATCAACACAAGGAATCGGACAGAATAGGTAAAAATGAATTGAGAGAATTTTCGACTGAGCCCAATGCCATATTTCGTTATAATTTGCTTTTGTTTCAGATTAAACTGAGTAGCAGTGTAGAGGGTGGCATTGGTGGCCTAGTGGTTAGGCTTACGCGACACGTAATAGTGAGATTTGCGGCTTCGGGGGTTCAAGCCTCAGCTCTGGCCGACATTGTGTCCCTGGGAAAGGCACTTTACACAAATTTCTAATTCAGCGCCCTCCTTTTAGAAATGGACGTTAAACTTGGAGGCCCTAGGCTTGAATAACCTAATGGTGTTGAGGGGCCTTAAACCTATATCATTTTTCAGTAGTGTGGAAAACCAATAAGTAAACAGTTACAACCTCTCTTGAACCTCATTCCGAGCCTTCAAGGCATTTGTCTGAGGTTGAGAATAAGGTTTCCCTCTTTTAAACTGCCAAAAACACAGAAATAAAAACTATTATAAATACACTATTTAAAGCACCTCAGACACCAGATGGTTACCATGAGCTGTCCCGCCAAGAACAAGTGATTATCTTCAGACTAAGAACACAACACACAAGACTGAGACAACATATGTACAAATGTTTTAAATTAATACAATCACCAAAATGCCAGTGTGGAGAGGCGGACCAAACTGTTGAACATATCCTTTAGCACTGCAAGACACACAGGGCCCTGAGACAGGAAACGTGGCCAACCCCACTGACGCTACAAGAGAAGCTATACGGGCCACCAGATGAACTGAGCAGGACGGCCCAATTTATGACAGATACCGGACTTCAAGTGTGATGCGATCGAGAAGAAGAAGAAGAACTGCCAAAGACTGGCAGCCCTGTGCGTATTATTTATGATTAAAAACAGGTTACACAAGGCCAAACATCTGATCAGAACAGTATAGTAAGAAAGGAGTTACCTCCCCTTTATTGTTCTTTTCATCATTAGCATTTTGCTGAACATGAAATCTGCATAAGACTAAGTTCTTAAGAAATTCTCCAGTACCTGATATCGTGAAGTTAGTGTTATTATGAATTTACTGTAAAACACATGGACTGTCATCATTCTGACATTTAAAACTACACTGGACTTTCTTATCCCCAGATGAAACACAATAAGCTTGAAATTGAAAGCTAAAAAACAGCTTTCTCCAACACCACAATGAAATCTTTAATTTCTAACAATCCTCCTAATGACGGCCATTGACAGTCCCTACATTGACACAAGTCTAACAATAGCAATGTAAAAGAGATATCCATTATATATGTGAGATCAGATCAAATTGAGTCTGATTGGGAAATCGCAAAGGTCAGTGCTCACTATATCAAATAGACCTCTGCTTTGCTTCATCAAATTTGACCCGGAAGTCCATCAGCGACCACAGTATTCTGCGCACTCACAAAAAATCTGACACTGCAATGTCATGCGACAACTAGTAACCTTTTAAGTTTTATCCAACACGCCCAATTGTGACCAGAAATTCTTCAATTCTTGTTCAACTTTCGGAGGATTGAATCAAATTTTATCATGTATCAAAATGCTAGCTTTTCCTCCTCCACATAGAACAATTTTGCTGCTCTTAATTGGATGAAAACCATAACACTTTGCGGTCACTTGCCGCAATAATGCGACAGTGAAAATTATCCATTCAGATCACCTGACACAGTTCTGCAAGAAGTCCGTTGCTGTCACTCTCCTGGCAGGGTGACCAGATGGGGTATTTTGTAATGCTGGCTGTATGACTGCAAAGTGTTAAATACGGGCTTGATGGAACTTTCTACAGTCCACACTGGCAATAAAATACAACAGAGAAACTTACAGCATCAGCAATATCCACCCATTGCATAGCCCGCTGCACAATGTCGTCTGAGGTGGGTTTCTTGTCTAGGTTCCAGGCTGAGAACTTTTTGAACGTGTCCGTAACTACGAGGTGTCTGTCCTCCTCCTCTGTGGACTGCGCTCTAGGTTCTTGAAGAACATATCCTGTAAAAAATATGTACAGCAGAATCCATTTATACAATACCGAACATGGTTACTCTGAAAAACAACAGTAAATTGAAAGAAAAAAGAATCCCTAATTTTTTCTTTGTTCCTTCAGCAATCTGTCTGTACAGAAAATATGGCTATATCGAAGAGAATCACGCAGTCCCGCAGATTACAGTTTAAGTAGGCTCAACTGTTTTTCAGTAAGAATCTCAAGCAGTACCATAACAAAAGTACATTTCACAAGAATGAACTCTATTTTACTATCAACCTGCAATACCATGGTTGTACACACACACATCTACATACATATATAAATACAATAAAATCAAATCATGTAGCAAAACTAATTTGTTTTTCATACATAATGCATTCATCCTATGATCAGAAGAAAAAATCTGGCAAACAGGCAGTCAAGAAAATTATGGAAATTGTCATTGGCCACTGAATTACTTCAGTTGAGTATGCAAATACGAAATCAGAGGGACGCTGAAATCTTTTCATTGAGTGCAAATTTCGCTATATGCATGTGTTTTGAATACAAAGAACATTTTGTAAAAGAAAAAAAAATAGGAACCTGAAAAGCTGTTTGGTATGTGTACGTTTCCAGGGGAAACCCTGATAACATGAACTTAGAGGAAACAGAGAATTTGTGTAAATGCAGATTTGTGGGTAAAAGTAAAGTACATTAACACATAATAAATTGTAACAAATTGTACAAAAATTGGACCATGTAATTTTCATAAGAAAAACTTACGTGTGACCGTAAAATTGACCAAAATTGGACAGTAGAATGGAAATCGATTTACATTTCACTAGACCTTAATATAATATCTTAACAACTCATTTCTGTACACATTTTGTTTAAGACTTCAATTTGAAATTAATTACTGAAGCATCTTTTGAAAGTCAGAGAAGTACTCTTGTACCAGAGGTGATTCCCAATTCTGTTAAGAGACCTACGGTATACCATGTTTAGTTCAAAGAACAACAAAATGTAATGAAAACAGCAAACAACAACAAAAAAGCAAACTTGACACAATCTCGCAAACAACAATACATCTTAATACCTGGAATACCTGGATCCTCCATCCTTCACGGTCACGAGCTGCTGTTGCACTACATTCCAGGCCAGTACATTTTAATAGGAAGTGAATTTTATAGAAACCAAGAACTTACCTGTGTATCCTGTAGGTAAATCAATCTTGACTCCATTAAGTGGCCTCCCACGGAAAGATGCGGTCATACCTGAACAAAACAGATGATTAAAGAATCAAACACTGAAAGTGCAAGAATTTTTATAAATTACTGGCTGTTGCATGAGATCCTCAAATAATAATAAATAATAATTACATGACTAATGACAACAAAAAACAAAATTAAATAATAGGCTACTTAATTTCCATATCATATATTAATCTATGCATCAACAAAAAAAAGCTGAAAGTAGTAGGATTCATATTTCAAAATGTGCAGTTAAGCCAAGGTTGAGCTGAAAAGGCATGCCCCCCCCCGCCCACCATATTTTATATTTTTATTAGGTCATGGGGGCAAGCCCCAGCACTCCTGTACAAATTGCGGTCCCGTTTGGGGATACTAGTTTTGACTCCACCGACGATTACTTCCGGTTCTAAACGATTACTTTTTGAAGCAGATGCCGATATGGAGAGATAGCCTATCAAACCTAATTGCAAAACATCAAATCATGGTTAAATTCACCCATGGTTTTTTTTTAGGTCAG